CAGATAAATGAATGAGGAATCGGGAGTATTACTTTTCTGGAAAAAAATAACATCTGTATTTTGATTTATGATTCTAATGAATTGTTCATATAAGGGACTGGTAATAGTTTTTTTTTTGTTTGTTTGTTTGTTTTTAGTGTAATAATCGCATTGTAATTATAAAGATTTAATTCACACAACAATTTCCTCACATTTTCCTTAAAGTATATTCACAAGTCAATATTATATTTAACATATCTCAGTCAGAAACTAATTATATAATGTCAAAAAATAAAATCCTGTTTATTAAGCATCTGTTATATGCCTAATACCACACACTAAGCACAGTAGAAGAAAAACATTTACAATAAACATTCGTTTACCTAAAAAATACTTACAAAATCTGAAATATGTACATAAAGGTATAACTTAGGAAGAAAATGAAAAACAAATATCTGTGGTCATTGCTGTTAAGTTGCTATTTAGCCTTCTTTTTTTTTTTTTTGCCATATTTAGTCTTTGATTTTGCCATACTGCTGTCAATCACAATGTTTTATATACACCAACTGTATCTAACACCAAAGATCCTTTGCACTCCCTCAAGACTCAAGTTCAAATTGTAGTTATAAGACCCAAGAATCAAAGCGCTTATAAGTTTAAATACCTTTATTGCATATTTAGATGTTAGAAATAGTGCTACATTTAAAATAAAGTACAACTCATATATTGCTTTTAATTACCTATGTATATAGATGTATATTTTTATGGACCAAAATGAAGCTGAGATATTGTGTGAATTTTCTATTCTTTCATAAAATAATAATCTTTCATACAATAAAGCACAAAAGCAAATGAGTGTGCACAGTGGGAAGTATAATCTCCAATCCCCTATGGAAGCCAAGCCCAATGAACCCTTTTCAACTTATTGGGGATGTCATGTGTACATGGGGTTTCTCTAAAAGGTTGGCAACAACATTTATCAAAGGAGTCAGTGACAGAAGGGCAAACTTTATTCCTAGGAGGATGGTCTAGGCTGCTCTGGAAAGATGAAAAGATTATAATTCACCTGCAAATATTGCATAATATAGAATGTAGATGAGGAATGTGAAAGCTGTATGTGTGTGTGTGTGTGTGTGTGTGTGAGAGAGAGAGAGAGAGAGAGAGAGAGAGAGAGAGAGAGAGGTAATGGAGAAAAAGAAAAGGAGAGAGGAAGGCATAGGGGAATGGAGAAAGGCAGACAGACCTTGGAAAGTGAATATTTCTCCTGAACAAGAGTACTCTGGCCAACATCATAACACTAAACATAAACCTCTTTCAGAGAACATAATTAAGGTCTTCCTTTCAAATCTGATGTTCTTTGATTATAAGTCAGGTAGAGCAGAAATGGAAAGAAATATAGAGGAGGGAAAGAAAGAAAGAAAGAAAGAAAGAAAGAAAGAAAGAAAGAAAGAAAGAAAGAAAGAAGGAAGGAAGGAAGGAAGGAAGGAAGGAAGGAAGGAAGGAAGGAAGGAAAGAAAGAAAGAAAGAAAGAAAGAAAGAAAGAAAGAAAGAAAGAAAGAAAGAAAGAAAGAATTTATGCCAAGCTCCTGAGTTTAGGGAAACATTCCAGTTGACTACTAATGAGCATCACTTCAAGGAAGGCAGAATTCACATTCCTATGATGTCATAGTCTACAATTTGCATCTTATTTGACAAAATCCTGATTGAGGGTGGACTGATACAGGAAGCAATTTTCAGGCAGAGGTTTAGTAAAGATAAGATCGATGACAGAGGTTACATTGTTTCCAAGGGGAATGATGGGAAGATGCACAAGAGGGAGACTCACTAGATGAGCATTCCATTTACATTCATATGTGGGTAGAAGATTTTGAGATTAGTGGGCTCCCAGTATATTCAATAACTGAATTCTACTTTTGCTTTCTATTTTTATATATACCACCAATATTGATATTAATTTTTCTAATTTTTTCTTTCTTATTGATCTCTAGAGAGAGAGGAAGGGAGAAGGAGAAAGAGACAGAAACATGGATGAGAGAGAACATCGACCCGCCTCCTCCCGCACGTCCCCTGACTCGGACCCGGCCCACAACCCGGTCATGTGCCCCTACAGTGAACCGAACCGGAGACCTCCCAGCACGTGGGTCGATGCTCAACCACCGAGCCACACAGGCTGGGCAATAATTTTTAATTATTGATTTTAGAGAGAGAGGAAGGGAGAGGGAGAGAAAGATAGAAACATCAATGAGAAAGAACATCAATCGGCTGCCTCCTGCACGCCTCCCACTGGGGATCAGGCCCACAACCTGGGTGTGTGCCCTGACCAGGAATTGACTGAGAACCTCTTGGTGCATGGGTCGACGCTTAACTACTGAGCCACACCGGCCGGGTTAAATTAAAAATTTTTATAACCAACATTGTGCTATGCAACACCAGTTGTGCAGATATTCTCCTCATACAGTGGCTGGTTTAGACAATATTCAATGCCTGATTAAATGTGTTCATTACTAAGCCATGGATAAGGGGTGATGCACAAAGACATCCATGGCCAGGCCCGTTTGGAATACCTCAGTGAAACTGGTTGTAGCTGATCATGCAGATTCGAACTTTCTGACTCTCCCACCACTTATTTGTGAAAAAGTGGTTGTTTCTGATTTGTGAAAAAGATAAAACTATAAATCAAGCCTCATACTTGAGTTTCTGTATGGTTTTTATAGATTTTAATTTTTATATGGAGAATACTTCAACTAGAGTAGTGAAAGATTTTATTGAAATATGAGAACTATAATGATTTGGGGAGTGGGGGAATGATTTGTCTCTTACTCAGTGAACATAGACCTTTTTAGATGTTATCACTGAGATTCAACTGACAACTTGATATTTAATAATAGAATTTTTTTTCATTCTCTTGTCACCACCTGCAAATTAGATCTATTTTACTGACATGTACTCGGGACCTTAACACAAAAGTTTCTCCAAATTATAAAAAGATTATACTATGTACCCAATTGATTGTGTAACATACTATTCCCCATATGTAAATGTATTGCCCTATGAGCCCAACTTGCCACTTTGAAGATCTCTTGTCAAATGTAACAAAAAAAATTAAATGAATTAACAAATGTGAAATATCTGGAAGACTGTCTGGTACATAGTGTGTGTTTGGTGTATAAAAAACTGACTAGCGTTGGTAGCCTTCCTCTGGTATACTTCATATTCAGGTGATGTAAAACACTGTGTTTATATAAAATAAAGAGCATAGCTTTACAAAATTATTTGTCTCTTTACAATATGTACTTAAATGATAACCTTTACCAATGTATTTTCTATGTGATGAAGTTTACCAAAACTGACACCAATCTGCAAATGTGCAGAAGTACACCTATTAAGTGGAGCAAGGTGAACCTCTATCATCGTCACTGAGACTACCATTATGCCGTCATTGCCTATTTTCTCATTCCAATATCAAGTTTTGATTTGAACTGTTGCCATGTATTTTACATTTTAATTGCAGAACTCTATGCCCACTCCCAAACCATCTCTGAAATTCTCAACCATTACAAAGAATTCAAATAAAAACCTGCAGTTGTGCCAAAGGTTTGCTTTGGATCCAATGTCATACATATAAGTCGTAGCCATTACTTAGTCAAATGTGTGGTAATTCAATTTGTCACTTTGGATGCATGACAAGTGTTGCATATACAGAGAGTCATGACAGAACTTGACAAATAGAAAAATTAGTAGAAAACGTAAGTCTAATACATTGTGGCATGTGCTCATACAGCTGCATCCTCCTAGAGTGAAAACATATGACCAAGCTTTTTAATAACCAGATTTTAAATAAAATTATTATCAACTCAAGAAAAATTTTAAAACATTAAATATCATTTAGAATCTCCTTTATGTATTCTGTTGTTTCTCCCTGAAACTATTTTTTCTATTTTCCATTAAGATAAATGAAAATACAGAATATTTTAAATTGATGCTGTTCTCCATCCATTGGTCCTGATGCACAGGCTCCTCGTCAAGCATTCATAATCAATGGTGTGTGCACGCAAGAAGTGACTCTTTGATAAGAAAACATTTGCATGCATTAATGTTTCATCCGTTTCTAAGGAAGGTATCACTGTGGTGCTGAAAGAATAGCTCCGGGTACCCAGCAGACGGTTTGCTTTGCCTAGAATGGACAGGAAGGACTCCGGGCAGAACTGAAGGAGGTCCACCGAAGACACAAGTGGTAGACAATTACCTCATAACTTCACACCACTTTCCAAGAAAACATCGAGCTAAAATTTCTTTAAAAATGCTTAATGCACTGTATAGTTGTTAAACTAGGATTTATTTTATTTTATTTTTTTTTAAGCAGCCCCTTCCCTTTTCCTCAAAGTAAAACCCTGGAGTAGGATATTTCAAAGACACGAAAAAGTAAATCATACAGATTTTTCTGCCATTGACATTTCGAGGCACCATGCTCTGTACAAATAGTGGGGGACAGTCTGGAGACTTTGTAAATGGCATTCTCGGGCTGGAAAGAGAAGTACTCTCCAGACTCAAGCTGACGCTCCTTTTTCAAAGAAAACGATGCTCACGACCCAACCCTGGCAGTCCGTTGGCAGCCAGGGAGCTTAGCCCCCGGTGTATAACTCCAACAGAAGGTAAATTAAGACAAAGCAGGTTCACACTCGGTTGGGGGAGGGCGGAAAGGTTAAGCAGCATTGGGGAGCAGTACGCAGCGACCAGAGAGGACAGTGACCTCATTTTGCCCAAGGAAGCGTTATCCAACAAGCCCACCTCTGATGTGAATAGCAGCGGCGTTGAAAGAGCACAAAGCTGGAGGGAGCAAACTTCCCTATTCTTCCACCACATCCCTTAAGACCGCCGGGAACACGCACACGCTGGGACAACAAAGCGTGCGCCAGGCTGCAGCTCCCAGCGGCGCGGCCATCGCGTCCCGGGGCGCGCGGTTCCCCGGAGCGGAGCGGGGCGCCGGCAGAAGCTCAGGGCGCGGGCGGAGGGCTCCCTACCTTGAGCAGCACAAAGAGCCAGAGCAGAGGCAGGAGGCGGCGGCCGCCGCGCGTCCTCGTGGGCAGGTGCCCCATCGCGGCGCGGACGGGGACCTAGAGGGACGGTAGCGCAGGCGGGGTGCCCCAGTGGTGGCTCACAATGGCGAACTGGGGCTGCAGCCTTAGACCTTGGGCGCCGAGGCCGCTCCCGGAGGGCGCATGCTGCCTTTCCGGTCTCCCTGCCGCTGCTCCCTTCCCCGTTTTGCTCCTGGGGTTCTCCAGCAACGTGCCAGGCGTTGCTGTTCTTAAATAGCTAAGGATGGAGAGGGTGGGGATTGGAGTGGGCGAGGCTCTGCCACCGCCACCACCGCGGCTGCCAGCGGAGGTGCGGGGTCCTCGCGGTGAGCGACAAGCAGGGACCCTGCCCCAGCTCGCCGAAGCCCTCTGGCAACAGGAATGTTCTCTGGGCTGGGGATTCATAAAGTGACAGCAGCCTCCCTGCCCTCCCACCAGGGTCCGCCCGCTGCCTCTGATTGCAGGACAGCCCCCCTCCAGGCTCCGCCCCCACCCCTTTCACAGTCTCGGACTCAGGAGTTCCGTGGGCTTTCCTTGACTCCTCCTGAGCAACTCGGAGACCAGAACCTAGTCCCCTCTCAACCTTCCTAAACCTGCTCTCAGTCGTGGTTATAAAGGACGAGTAACACCTGGAAAGGAGTGGTGGTTGTGACTGTAGTGATGGAGTGCATGGTGTGTGTGTGTGTGTGTGTGTGTGTGTGTGTGTGTGTGAGAGAGAGAGAGAGAGAGAGAGAGAGAGAGAGACCCTTCTCTCTTCCATTTTCCCTATCCCATTTAAACACTCTCTACCCTCCATCCCACACTCACCAAGGAGGATATAGCACAATTATATACATTTTCCATTTGAAATCAGGAGTTCTTGTAAATTTCAAGAGCTATCGTTTGATACTATCCATCTTGTAAATGCAAAAATAACTTTTTTGGATGCATATTTTATATGATTATATTTTGTTATGTTGTCTTTCTGTTTTTTCTTCATCACTTCTATAAAAATGTGCTTAGCTTTTTATGCCCTTGTACATATGAACCGCTTTGGGGAAACAGTAACAGTAAACTGTACGAAATAAAGCTTTCTTCAGTAATTAGCATTCTTAATACTCTATTAAGTAACACTGTGATGAGATAGTCAAAGACTATAGGTATTACTTCATAATCACAGAAAATTTTCTCTCCAACATAAAGTATTTGACACAGCTGTTGCTAGATTAAATGGTTTCATTTGTTTTTATTGCACTTAAAAACAGTCTTGTGAATCCTCCTAAGAGAGACTCCCAGAAGAATGTGAATGCTGCATCATCAACAGTTTCCAATGCAATACTTCCAAAATACAATAAATCTTACTATGCTTTTTTCAAGATCCCAAATCAACAAGAATGGCCACTGGCAACATATAGTGCATATAATAATGTATGCTTCACCGCTTGCTTCAAAATGTTTGTTCTGATTTCATTATGCCAGCATAACTGTTAGGTAAAGAAGGCTGAGATCATTATCACCAACTATTTTCCTCATAATGCTGCTTCTCCTGAAGAACAGATAAATGCAGGAAAGCAGAATCTTTTACATGCCCTAAGACAGGCATTTAAAATGAATTCTCACGAATTGAAATAAAGCAATTTCCTTTGGAAATAATAATAAGTTTTTAATGATCAAAAGAGTGGGAGATCTTTTTTAAAATCTGTAGGAGGCTTTGTTTTTGTTAAGAAAAGCAATCTTTCCCCAAATATCTAAAATTGTATGTATGCTTCTCTAGTTCACACCACCTCTTCTATAGAAAGAGAAGCAATAGCAGCTACAGAGCAGGAGCTACAATCCCTACGAGGGGGTTAATAAGGAGTCAAATGGAACTCTTACAGTGCCCTTGCCAGTGAGGCTGAATTCTGTCCTCCAGAGACCAGCTCTAATGTAGTTCAGTATGTTCAGTCCTGGCTTCACTGCTGAAATCGCCTACAAGGCTGTCAGCACTTTCAGTATTAGAGAGTTGTATTTATGGGGGTTGCTCAATGACAAATAGTTTGCTTTATATGGAATGCAGGAAAAACCCAAGCCATTGATCTCCAGACCATATTCCACTTGAAAAGCATAGTAATAGTCAGGTAGTTTGCATTCCACCTCTCACATTTTACAATTATTATGACATACAAACTGTAGATTATGTGTAATATGTTCTTAAAATCAGATGACCAGGCAGCATTTTAACTTTCCATTGATTTGAACATTTGCTTTAATTTTATTCTTGATGAGCACTGGGTTCTCGCCTAAAAGACGTGTTGACAATTCATGAATTCTGTGTCTTTCAAGATCAGAATGATTGACAGGCCTCAGGTGAATAGCATGTTTCAACTGCCAAGACATATTATTCTTGTCACACTTGAGAAACAGTGAAATTTACTACAGAAGGCTATTTTGCTTTCACATGAAGGCTCTTATACCCATTGCCTCTTTTTTCTTCCTGAATATAATATTTACTGAGGTATCTATCTTTTTTTTAGCTTGACTCTTGCATAGTTTTAAGAAAAATCAAACAAAAATATTGTATGACAGGGCATAAGTTTTATGACAAAAATCATCTGCTCCAAGGAATAAGAAAACCTGAGGAGATATTTATCATTGGACACAAACTGCAGTCTATGGAATAAATGAGCAGTCCTAAATTAGGAAGGCAGATTGTCATTTTTGGATACTATTTCCTTTAGCAGTCAGTTGTATGTTAGGATTATTGCATATTGTTAACATTTCCTTTAATTTTTCTAAAAATTAAAGACAATAAGCAGCCTTACTTTTTTCTGAACCATTGTAGGCGTTGTTATCATCTACTCACCTAGCTGTTCTTCACACTAGGTTTTTTAAACTAATTATAATTTAAAGCATTAACATTCTGCACGAAAGAATTCATTTTAGCCTCGAAAAAAATGCATGACTAGAGCTTGTATATAATGTATCAATAAAGCAAAACATACTATTTGCTCAGTGGAAATGGTGCATGCTGATCCTCCCTTTTCTTCCTTCTTTACTTCCCTTCAGATTAAAGAGGTGATGCAACATTTACAACCTATTATGTTTCATAACCAGAGTCTACATATGCATCACTTAAAAAGTAGTTACAAATGTATAATTATGAAAAAATTGGTCATGGAGTTTCAGGTGCTACTGTAGAAACTATGAAAACATTAATCACATATTTTGAAAATGCACTGTCTTAACAGCTAAGCATTTTATGAATAGGTATAATAATTTTTCATTGACAATTTTACTTCAAATCAATCACACTAAATCAACTTTCATGCTAAAAATTGCAAAGTTAGTACTATCAACTTGTGAGAGAAGGGATGAAGATATCTATAATCTGGAGAGGGGCGGGGGATGCCAATGACAACATGGTATCATTATCTGTCTTAGCAGAAAAACCTAGAGAAGAAAATTTTAGAAACATGAATGTTCTGGGAGAGATTTCAGTGTCCTCGAGAAGAACATCCTCCTTATGGAGGGACATGAAGAAAACACATAATTGGGAAGCTGTACATTTCCAGATGTGCTTGTACCGTGTAGATATCAGTAAGAGAGGCAACTGAATATACAGATTTCATTTGTTTTGTTTAATATTATTATAATGTATACAATTATAGGGGTAAGCATTTAACAAATGTGTAGAGGAGATTTGAATGAAATCCAGTCGGAGGTCAATACATGTCAAGACTGAGACCGTTCTCTGTGAACTGGCTGTCTGATGCTACAATAGGCATTTCCAACCTTTTCTACCCAGCTTAACACACCACCCCTCTGCTCGGCAGACCCCTTCAGTACCTTCTACCTTACAGAGGAAATAAAGCCCATCAGGTGGCTTTTATCTTTTCTGACAGTAAACATAATTCGGCCCATTCCTGTTTGAATCTTTCTTGATAAAAACAAGGAGCACTCTCTCTCAATTACTATGTAAAGCTAATTCTACCACCTATTTTTTAGAGCCCATTCCTTCCATCTTTCCCTGCCCTCTTATTTTAACCTCTCTCTTTAGATGTATTTCATCTCTCGGGTTTTTAACCATGTTCATATCTTTACAATCGAAGAAAAACCCCTTTGCTGATTCATTCCTGCCCTCAGCTGCTACCCTTTCTCTCTCCCCATCTTTCACCCACCACTGTGCGTTCACAGCAGTGTTTTCCAGCGTGCTGGGTGTGCTCCGGCTCCGTTTCTGCCCTCTGGTCTGGCCTCTGCCCCTCATCTCAGCAGGGCTGCCTCACGGAGGTCGCTGGGAATCTCGTGCGAGCATATGCCATGTTGTTCCCTCCCTCCTGACTCTCATCTCTGACTTTCCATAACCCTACACGTCCTGGTTTTTCTTCAAAATCTCTGGCTGTTCTTCTGAAATCTCCATTTCTGGATCATTCTCCCTTTCCTGTCCGTTTAACGTTGCAATTTTCAGTGCTTAATCTTAAAGGCTCCTGTTTTACTCTGTACTCCTGCCTTAGCCAATGTAACCTAGCCAATGAAGATGTGACCAATCTTCAATCTTCACCTCTGCAGAGGTCCACGGGGTCATATCAGTAGTCATCCTAGGACACTCTTTTGACCCATGCAGACCCCTCTAACTAATGGCACACTTGGCTCTCCATTTGAATGTTTAAAACAGGTGAAACTTTGAAGGTCTGAAGTTGAACTCATAATAATTCCCCCATAACTTCTTATCCTCATAAGTGATACCAACACCAAACCATCTGCACAAGCCAAAAAAATTTCTGAAATAAATTTTTACAATTTTTTTTATTAATCCTCACCCAAGGATATTTCTCCATTGCTTTTTAGATAGAATGGAAGGGAGAGGGGAGAGAAACATTGATGTGGGAGAGACACATCAAGTGGTTGCCTCCCACATGACCCAGACCAGGGCTGGGGATCGAGCCTGCAACCTAGGTACGTGCTCTTGACTGGGAATCAAACCCATGGCCCTTCAAACCTCAGGATGACACTTCAGATGCTGAGACAAACCAGCCAAGATTCTTATGTCAATGTACTTCTCTCTATCCCAAACACCTTCATTACAGTTCAAAATTACCATTATTTTTTGTTGAACTATATACCTTCCTACTTGCAAGGGTCTACCTGTGGCCTCTGTGGCCCCCTCTTACTTCACCCAGAAGCATGACAGAGAAGTATTTCAATTTGCAGCTGGTTGGAACCAGTTATTGAAGTGCAAATCTGATCATCTTCTACATAAATCCAGCCAACAGCTTCCAAA